CCCCAAAACCCCAAAACCCCAAAACCCCAAAACCCCGTTAAACCCAATTCTTATGAAATAAAGTAAAATTAAGCTTCTCGATTTTAGCAATAATAAATTTATTATTCAAAACTCAATCCTTATATCTCTTGTGCCTGTTGGTACTATATGACTGTTATCAGTTTGCTTGTCCTCTTCAGTTTCATCTGGCTTGTAATTACTATTCTAATTTTGATAGCCTTTGTAAGTTTTTGGAGCCTTGAGTCCAATACTTTTACGACCATTCTACAAACTTGTATCGTTAGCAGAACCATTTTCGTCCCTCTAGAATTTTAGTTCAAGTTCGATGTTATCCTCTTAATTGACCATTTCAGTGCTATAATTTGGCCAATTGAGGTAAACCAGGCTCCATACATACAAGTTAAACAGAGCTATGAAAAATAAAAAGATTCCCCCATTAGAGTAGAATGGAGAGTAAACGCCGAATGCCACAGTACCAATACAAACGAATAGCATCATTAAAGAGTATAGATATAATATTCTTGATCTAAATGGTATATTCCTAAAATGGATGCAGGTAATACAAAAGGTAACAAAGAACCATATGAGATAAACGAACAAGAAAAATGCAGTGAGAATTATCAGAGCCATCAGAGCATCTGGAATTGTCTCAAAATGAGAAAATGCTGCGTTTTCTCTAACATTAATCAAGTACAAAATGTACAATGACATTAGATCAGCAGTAAAAACAACGAAATAGATGCTTTTAACTTTTTCAATGCAGCTCTTCTATCTTTTGCCTTAAGCTTTGTTTCTTTGAGAACTTTGCAATACTTACTTTTCAATTGGCTCATCTTTTATCCTTTATACAGACCTTAGCCAGTATTGCAGAAGCAACACAAAAAATACTGCCAGCCAGAGTTAAGAAATCACATAGGTAAACATAGTAGGTTTGAAAATATTGATTATGTAAGTGGGGTCATTAAATAACACACAAGCAAATACAATCATGTATAATTTGGTTTGATCATAAGTTTATGCTATATTTTTTGATAGCCTACACATTTTGCACCAGTATGCAATACAAAACAATAAACTTAGCACCATAAAAATCATTCTTACGCTAATTTGCATGTCCGTATATTCTGGGTTAATATATCCAACATGAAAATGTATATTATCATTAAGCTTCATTCCTGTTAAATTCAAATTAGTGACATTAATCCAAATCTGATAGGTGGAGTGAGTTAATATTGGTATGTGTGCTAAGATGAAATAAGAACAAATCTTTTCATTCTAAAAAGATATAAGAATTTATAAACTTACAGTTCTACACTCTATCTTTGAGGATTATTGAGTATTTTAAATAATTTTTTCCCATTTTTCCTAGTCTGAATTTCTACCATTAATTTAAACCTCATATCTTAAAATGAATTAGTAGTTTGTCGCTGAATAACCTATCAATAATGTGAGTAAGAATATTCTTATTACCTTACTAGTCTTGTTATAAAGTTTAATCTACCTATCCATACAATAGAAGTATTTGATTTTTAAGCTAAATATTATTCAATTCAGTTTTCCAAATTTGGCCAACTGTAATGTTATTTAAATTTGAGCATTAAATCACTGTGGCTGTTTGACTCTAGTTCTTAACAACAAGAGTATTGCTATTAATTGATTAATTAGTATTAGTTCCATTTGTCTTATTGTCTTGTTATACTATTATAACTGTGCTATTTTGAGTTTTGGTAGTCACATTGGTATTATTTGTAGCTGACTATAGATTTCTCAATGAGCTTTATCCCCCAGCAGTAATATTTTATTAGACTTAGTTGCATAATTGAACATTTCCTCTGTCTGTAATTATCATTACAGGAACATTAAATGATGCAGCAAAGAGGGCTATAATTGCTGAAACTAAGATTGCAAGAAAAAAGAAACAGTGACAGGGAGACATTGTCTCCAATCTAACTTTCATTTTAAGTTAAGCTATTTAAAATTTACGATTATATTAATGATCATTTATCAACAGAATATACTTAAGCCTATATTGGTGATGAATGAGTAGTGGGGTTTTGGGGTTTTGGGGTTTTGGGG